GAAGTATCAACGTACTTTTAGCAAATTCTCAGTGATAAGAGGCAAGTCCTTATTTTGTAGGCCAATGACAAGACCGAACAGACCATAGCGATCCTCCTCGTCAATGTCTGCCATCATGCCAAAGTCCAGGAAGGCGAGGTTGCCTTCTTCTGTCTTCAGAAGATTTCCCCTGTGCGGATCGGCATGAAACAACCCAGTAGTCATGAGTTGATCTACCGAGCAACGAATACCAATTTGGACTGTTTCAAGTCCTGATTCACCTGGCCAGGGTCCCTTCTTTCCTTCGACCCATTCTTGCACAAGGACACGACGCCGTGTCAGCGGGTTGCAAACATCAGGTACGAAAACATTCTCCCAAGATCCATATAAATCTCGAAAGCGCTCGCAATTGTTGGCTTCCCGAACATAATCTAGCTCTCCGAATAGCTGTAATCCAAATTGATCGGCAATCTTTGGAAGATCCCCTCCTCTCATTCTACTTGCCCATAGTGCCGTTTTTCGAAGCAGGTACATGTCCAAAGCAGCAGAGGCTGCCACATCGGGTCGTTGGACCTTGATGGCGACTACTCTACCTCCCCACTTGGCGGCATTCTCCTTTCCAATGGCAGCCTCTAGTTGCGGTCCTCTTCGAATCCGAGCCTTGTAAACTTGCCCAATCGAAGCGGAGGCAATTGCTTGGTTTCCATTGTAGAACTCAAACAGACTCAGTGTAGGATCGTTCGCTACAAATTTTTCCAATTTTGTTACCGCCTTTGCTTTGTTCTTTTTGAAGGCATCCTTCCAGAAATCTCTCGTGACTTTCATTCTGGGTGCCAAATCCTCCAGCTCCTTTTTTATTATTTTCATGGCTTCCAAATCGTCAAAGGCGCCGACTGCATCTACTAATTTCCCCAATTCTTCTGCCCATATCTTGTTGCGAATTAGATCCGGCCGTAAGCTTAACGCCTGTCCAGACTATTGTATATCACAGAGAAAATAGGTCTATTGAGTGAGTCTTCCATGCTTTTAAGAGTTTGTGTTCACTCACAATTCAAGTCCTCCCAAGACATAATGCACCCAAACTCACCTTGATCAATGCTACACTCCTCGACCGCACTAAAAGCTCTCGAAGCTCAGCTCCTCGTTTCCTTTGGACATCAGGTTTGTCGGATATTCCGAGTGTATTGTCCATCAACAATCCCAAATACCACCCGAGCAGTGGGAATCCGAGCGAGTTTAGTCTCCAGCCCACTTGCAAAGGGCGTCGATCATAGAATGCATCTATCGTCTTTCCAGAGTATCCAGTCACTGGCATTGCTTTGGCCTTTTGCGGCCGCCGTCCGCCGTCATTCAACGTCGTCGTTTGTTGTGGTGTTGCAGTGGTGGTAGTGGTAGCCATGTGCAACGTGTCGATTCTATTTGATTGGAAAGGCGAGACCTGCGAATTTTGTATTGATATTCTCTGCGGATTGATCGGAAAAGCTTCTGTCGAAAGAGGATGGCCAAAGAGAAGTATTATTCCTATTGAAGAGAGCACCGATTTGGACAGCGAAACCCACATTCTGCGGCCATCTGTTTTCGGTCGTGACCTGAATTCTGGAGCTCTGTGAGCCATTCTTGTATTGAATTGACTACGCCCCACTGGAAAGTTGATTTATTGATAAGATTGGTCGGTGTCAGCAGTGTCTATCTGATCACTCGGCAATGCTTTCTTGCTTCGAAGGTTTGGGTGTCAAACAAACAAAACATCTGCCAAATTATTTCGAAAGGTTGAAGAAATCTAGCGTTCTTTTAGCGCTACGTATGTACCTTTCGATGAAGAAAGACAGCACGACTGACGAACGCTCTATGGAGAAAATCCATCAGCCTCCACCGCCACAAAATTCAAAATCTGAAAATGAATGTATTATTGTTGAGGTGATGATTGATCCACGCTCTTTGCTTTTGGCGTTATGTCTGGTTGCGTCATTTATCACTGATTCACTGGCATTTATTCCAACCCAAGTAAGTCCTGGGACTCACAATGGGAATGGGAATGGGAATCATCAGTTCCACACATGTCGATCCAAGAGCAATGCGCTCTTTGATGGTGCGATTGAAGAATTTGGGGATAGGAGTCCAGAATATATAAAACGGTCTGATTGTTGGATAGTTGTTGTTGACGATGAAGAAGCCATTCGCAAGGCTGTAGGTCAGTTCCTTTACGACAAGGGCTATCGAGTTACTGCCTGTGCCGATGGGCAAACGGCTCTGGATGTCGCTCTCAGTCGTACGGACGATGAAAATGCGGCCAAATCAGTCCCCGATTGCATTGTGAGCGACGTTCGTATGCCAAACATCGATGGGATCCAGCTCTTGAGGGCCATTCGCAGTCACGAGACATTGCAAGAAGTCCCAGTAGTCTTGGTAACGGCAAAGGGAATGACCCAAGACCGGATTGATGGGTACAATGCAGGGGCAGATGCATACATTACCAAGCCCTTTGATCCAGATGAACTTATTGCCGTGGTGGATAATGTGATTGATCGACATGAAACGTTAAACGGAGACAACATTGAGGTAGATGATTTGAAGAAGGATCTTGATGACATCAAATACTTGCTGTTGGAAGAAGGTGGCGGAGGAGTCGGTAATGGATGGGTCAAAAGTACAAATGTCTTTCTAGCACCGGACGAAAAGGAAGTGTTAGAGCTACTATGTCAGGGACTCATGACGAAGGAGATTGCTGGAAACACAGGACTTTCCAAACGGCGAGTGGAGCAGCTCTTGACTCGAATGTACCGCAAGACGGAGGTCAAGAATCGAACCGAGCTCGTCCGTTGGGCGGTATCCACGGGAAATGTGAACTTGTAATGTACTACAGCGCCTTCATTGGTAGTCAGAAGCAACAGGCAGGAAGACC